GTAGGGAGATGTTATGTTGGTTGCCTACTAAATGTAGTTTTGCCAAAAAATAACCAAGAATGACATAAACGTCGATTCTTTTGATGTTGACGGCATCTCGTTTTGTAATTTTGATTTAAAATCGTCGTGTAAAACTAGAACCAACACTACACCTAGAACTAGAATCATTTGGGTTTAGTCGTATGTCTCTAAAGAAATGATTCTAGTTTTAGGTATAGTGTTAATTTTAGTTTTACACTTGCATTGTTACTAGGAATAACAATAAACTAAACATTTGGGTTTAGCCGTACGTCTCTTAAACGTTTCTAAACAAAAATTTTTGAGGTTAGATTACCTGTCTTGCCGCTAGGTAGAGTACCCACAACGTTTCGACCCATAAAAATGCTAGAATTGCATATAAAACCGGCCGATCACTTATAGTGCTTTCAAAAATTTCTTCTTTTTGCATTATTTCGGTATAAAATGAATGTTTTTATTCAAGTTAACCTTTACGACTTTTTTGACAATGTTTAAATGTCAAATTTTAAATGAAACAGGAGCCATCTAGTTTCTCTTTATTGTATTACGTTAATAAACGAATTTAATTTATTTAAAATTATGCGATTATTTAAATTAAAATTGATTAAATGTATATTATATTATTAATAACTTTTTTCTTTATAATATATCAATATTCACTAAATATATGTTTATTCGTAGGGAGATGTTATGTTGGTTGCCTACTAAATGTAGTTTTGCCAAAGAATAACCAAGAATGACATAAACGTCGATTCTTTTGATGTTGACGGCACCTCGTTTTGTAATTTTAATTGAAAATCGTTGTATAAAACTAGAACTAACACTATACCTAGAACTAGAATCATTTGGGTTTAGCCGCACGTCTCTAAAGACTAGTGATAATTCTAGTTTTAATTCTTATGCAGTGCTAGACCCAGAATTAGAATCATTCGGATTTAGCCGTCTTAAAAGATGTACGGCTAAACCTAAATGTTTCCAAATGGTTTAACCGTCTTTAGAGACGTGCGGCTAAACCCGAAACTTTCTAGTTTTAGGTTTTTTCTATAAAATTTGTCAAGGTCAAAATTTTTCTTTTTTCTGTTGGTATTAAAGCTAAATGAATATTATTAATTATTATTTTGATTTTTAGTAACATTTTCAATAACTCTAAATAAATTACGCTTTTTTTGCATAAATTTGATTTCAATTATTTCTTAACAAATATAAAACCCAAAATTAAATTTTCTTTAATAACGAAACTTCAAACTTCAAAATGACACTAACTTAAAAACATGATATAACCAAAATTCCCTATTAATCATACCAACCGTCACCAAATTTATAAAAATTTGACAGGTGTTGTCAAAAAAACATTTAAAATTCGATGCAAATATAAAAAACGTTTTTTATAAAATTTTAAATTAAATATAATAACTTAAATTGATATTAGATAATAAAGAAGATCCAGACAGTCCAAGATAGAATTAATAAATGACGAAATTATTCATCACCTGTGGTTTTAATTTTTCATTAGCGTTTGTCCTAATAAGGACTATAAACAGATTTATAACACGTGTTTTTAATTTCCACTTCCAACCCGGATCAATACTTTTATTACCCCACGTGGTGGGGAAAAACCGGATCAATTTTTGCCTAAAATCAATTCCAAAACAACCATCACAAACCATTTTTAGCTTTTAGTGTTGTAACATTTCTTGGTCGAAAATGCCGAAAATTTGGGACTACCTCGGTAAAAACTCCCCGAAACATCGGAATCTTCAAGATGGTCTCTTTCAGATTGCCTCTCAAACTTGCAATTTATTGGTTCAAGTAAATAACACGAATAACATTAGTTTCGGTGATAACACAACGAATATTTTATCGAATACTTTGGATTCAAGATTTCAAAAATATAAAAGCACCCGCGAAGAAAGCGACCAAGTCGTCGTTTTAATTCCACCGGATAAACCTTCGGGGAGAATTGGAAGATCAAAATCGTTTGGTGGGGGGATTTTAAAACCAAAATTATCTGTAAGATTTCTTCAATTTTTTTCAATTCATCTTTATTATTATTTTTTTTTAATTTAGACAGTTCTTGAAACATCTCCGTTGGGAAACGAGGAAGAGGGTGAATTATGGAACCACGGATTTACTCTTCCAGCTAATAACAACGACGGTAGTCCAATTCGAAGAATATCAGGACGCAAAGGGTGGTGTAAACCATCTTGTATTCCAATATCAATCATTCTTTTATTGATATTCTTGGTCGTTCTTCTCCCTCTTCTTGACCACGGAACAGAAAAGCAACAAATTAATACAACCCCAATCTCAAAAGATAAATGTTTACAAGAATGCAGGTAAAAATTAAAAATAACTCACACAATTTGATTTCATCACAAAACCGTTTTAGCATATCATTAACTGAAACGATTCCTTTTGGAATGACTTTTGAACATAATCAAAAACTTTACTCTTCCACTCATGAAACATGGTTAAATCTAATAAATTCCGCTGACGATTCCATCAAGATTCTTTCAACTCATTGGGCTTTAAAACAAAAAGATAAATATCCGGATCCTTCCTCGATTCACGGCGAAGAAATTTTTGCCTCTTTACTTCAAGCGACACAAGAAAAGTCAATTACAATCAAAATAATACAAAATATACCTTCCAGAAATCAACCGAACACCGATACAGATTACTTATTAAAAAAGAAAGTGGCTTCGGTACGAAATTTGAATTTTCCACAAATATTAGGCAGAGGAAAATCAAATTCAAAGTTATGGATTATCGACGACGTTCATTTTTATCTCGGTAGTGCCAATTTAGATTGGAGGTCGTTAACGCAAACGAAAGAACTCGGTTTGGTTGGATATAATTGTTCTTGTATCGTTGAGGATTTGAATAAGATTTTCCAGTTGTTTTGGATGATGGGCGAGAAAGATTTTCGACTTCCCGATCAATTTCCAAGTTATTTAAACACAAAGTTTAATGGCACAAATCCTATAAACGTTGATAATTATGAAATTTTTATTGCTGTAAGTACATTAAAAGAAATAATTTTTATGAAATTAATTTTAGATTTTATCCTTTTTAGACATCTCCCGATGAATTTTTACCACCCGGACGAGAGAAAGATCTCGACACAATATTAAATTTGATCCAAAAGACGGAAAATTTCATTTATATCTCAATTATGGATTATTTACCTCTTTCTATTTTCTCACCAACAACCAAATATTGGCCGATTCTTGATGACGCATTAAAAAAATCAGCTATTGATCATCACGTACATATCAAAATGTTAGTTGGTAGTTTTAATCAAACTTGGTTTGCTCAGGAATATTTCTTAAAAGCTTTGGAAGATATTTCCCATTCCGATCCGAAGGTTGATATTGAAGTGGTTCGTTTATAATTTCTTTTTTAATTCTTTTATAATTATGTTGTTATTTTAGAGAAGATTTATAATATCCGGAACTTCAAATCAACTCAAAATTGAGAATGCAAGGGTGAGTAATGGAAATTTTATGGTAACTGAGTCATCAGTGTATGTTGGAACATCCGGATGGACTGGAGATTATTTTATGGATATGTCTTCGATTGGTTTCGTTCTTTTAGAGAATTCTAAAAATAATCGGTCGTTAAGGGAAGATTTGGTTGAATTATTCGAGCGCGATTGGAATTCAAAGTACTCGTTCCCTTTAGATGTTTTACGTTAACTTTTAAACACTGTATGCCTTATTTTCTGTGATATGTAGTTNGAGATATTATCACAATTTTCCTTTTTTAAATGGAAACAACCACTGATTATTCGCTTATTAAATTCGTTATTTTTTTCTGATTATATAAATATAAGGTTCGACAGGTCTATTTCTTATTGTTTTAGAATAAAGCTAAAAATAAACTTTTTTTTAGTGTCAAAGAAATTAATTTTACAGTTTCCTGTAAATTATAACTAAAAATTAAAAAAACATATTTCCGATATTTGAAACAAATACATTTTTTGAACTATTTAATTTATATTTGTTTTACAAAAAAAGTTGGAATAGATTGCATTATTTCACATTTTTTATTAATATTTAATATTATTATTATATGACTTAATAAATTATTGATAGATGGCGCTCATATATTTTGAAGAGAGATGGCATTAGCGTCTATACTAAAATAATTTAATTAAACTAACAATTTTATTATTAATAGTGGAAATGATGAGAGATAGCAATAACAATTATTACCAGTATCATTCTTTTAATTTAAAAATTATAGATTCCAATTCGTGTTATATTTTTAACTTTGTCGCTAACTTCAACTTTTAAAAAGTGAAGTTTGTTCAAAGTGACAGACGAAAACGTCATTTTAAGGCCAAAATTGAAAATATCGTAAAACCAGCAAGTGCAATTATCTTGGTTATTATTATAAGTGGAGTATCATAACTAAGACATTATATGGACACTCTTTTACAGAGAATTTCATGACAAAAAAATTTAGGTTTTAGATTTTGAGATGTCATGACAATTTTGGTTTTTTTAAATGGAAACAACCACTGATTATTCACTTATTAAATTCGTTATTTTTTTCTGATTACAAAAATATAGGGTTTGACAGATTTCTTATTATTTTAGAATAAAGCTAAATATAAACTTTTTTCTATTGTCAAAAAAATTAAATTTACAGTTTCCTGTAAATTATAACTTAAAAATTAAAAAGCATATTTTTGATATTTGAAACAAATAACATTTGTTGAACTATTTAATTTATATTTGTTTTACACAAAAGTTGGAATAGATTGCATTATTTCACATTTTTTATTAATATTTATCAAAAGAATCGACGTCAATGTCATTTCTGGTTATTCTGTGGAAAAACTACATTTAGTAGGCAACCAACATAACATCTCCCCAAGAATAAACATATATTTAGTGAATATTGATATATTATTTGAAGAAAAAAATTAATAATAATCAATAATAACATAAACATTTAATCAATCTTAACTTAAATAATCGCATAATTTTAAGTAAATTAAAAACGTTTATTAATTTAATACAATAAAGAAAAACTAGATGGCGCTCATTTCATTTAAAATTTGACATTTTAGCAATCTTAATTTAAACAATCGCATAATTTTAAATAAATTAAATTCGATTATTAATTGTTAAAGGTTTTGTACAAAACGAGGTGCCGTCAACATCAATCGAATCGACGTCAGTGTCATTTCTGATTATTCTGTGGTAAAACTACATTTAATAGGCAACCAACATAACATCTCCCTACGATTAAACATATATTTAATGAATATTGATATATTATAATGAAAAAAATTAATAATGAACAATAATATAAACATTTAATCAATCTTAATTTAGATAATCGCATAATTTTAAATAAACTAAATTCGTTTAACTTAATACAATAAAAGGAACTAGATGGCTCCTATTTCATTTAAAATTTGACATTTTAGCAATCTTAATTTAAACAATCGATTAATTTTAAATAAAATAAATTCGATTATTAATTGTTAAAGGTTTTGTACAAAACGAGGTGCCGTCAACATCAAACGAATCGACGTCAATGTCATTTCTGATTATGCTGTGTCAAAACTTCATTTAGTAGGCAACCAACATAACACCTACCTATGAATAAACTTATATTTAGTGAATATGGATATATATTAAAGAAAAAAATTAATAATAAGAATAATAATATAAACATTTAATCAATCTTAATTTAAATAATCGCATAATTTTAAATAAATTAAATTCGTTTATTAATTTAATACAATAAAACGAAACTAGATGGCTCCTATTTAATTTAAAATTTGACATTTAAGCGTTGTCAAAAACGTCGTAAAGGTTAATTTGAATAAAAACATTTCTTTTATACCGAAATAATGCAAAAAGAGGAAATTTTTGAAAACAGTGTAAGTGATCGGTCGGTTTTATACGCAATTTTTTCAATACGAAGCTTAATCGGAAGTTGTTTAATTTTAATCCGAATTAAGTCGAACTTGGGTTCGAATGAAACAATTTTTAATTTTTAAATCGATTTAAAACGATTAATTCGATAAATTAAAGAAGTTTTTATTAAAAATTCGATTTAAAATCGTTAAGAAATCATAAAAAAAGCATTACTTCCGGTTTAACCGGAAGTTGATTAATTTTAATCCGAATTTACTCGAGTTTGGGCTTAAATGAAACGGTTTTTGATTCTGAATTTAATTTTAGCGATTATTTATTTATTCCGAATTAAAAAAATAGAGTATAATGGATGAAATAAAAGTAATAATTTTATGATGTAAATATTTATTAATTCTCACACCTAATAAAACTCCGGTTCGAAAAAAATTATCAATATAAGCTTACTCTGTACGAAATAAGCGAAAAAGCAGAGATTTATTTTATTTGGTGGGCTCGATAGTTTCGCCACCTCTAATTTGGCCCCATCCGATTAAGCGCCAATGTTTTTCAACACGTCTACTCAACGCGATCTTTTCCCCGATTTCCGTACAAACAGGACTGGTTAAAGAAATCTTGACCAAATCAGCCCTAGTCGCAACAACTCTTCCTCCGGTACTCAACGAACCAATATTAACTAATAATATTTCAGCTTTCGTTAATTTTTGAACTTTAGCTCCTTTTTTATCGCCTTCAGTACGAACTCCAAGCAATCGTTTCAATAAATAATAACTCACCTATAAATTTAAACATAAATTAATTAAAAAAGTACTTATTAAAGGTTGTTCTAACCTCAAGTTCGATGAAAATACTTGGGAGAGCACCAACTGCTCCAAGAACTTGTCCTACCAGGCGATCAGCCCTACATAAAGTTGGTTCAATTTTCGTCCCAACACCAATTAATCCACCGGGGACAGCAAATTGTAATTCGTTTTGTTCCGTGTATAAGGAGACAATACGAGAGAAGATTGGTTTGCAAGTTAATTTTCCTTCAGAATCTTTACTTACAAGACCAGGACGAACCTAAATTAATAATCGATTATTTATTTAATTAAAATTAATTAATTTTTAACCTCAATTTCTTGTCCAACTTTGAGAACACCTCTTAAAATACTTCCTCCAGCGACGCCTCCTTTTAAATCGGTAACTTCACAACCCGGTTTATTAACATCAAACGATCGAATAACAATTAATCTTGGTTCCGATGTAAAATCCCTCACGGGGACCGGAATCTTTTTCGTGATATACTCACAAAGTACCTCAATGTTATACTTTAACTGGGCAGAAATTGGAATAATCGGTGCCCCTTCAGCGACCGTACCTTGAACAAACTTAACAATCTGCTCGTGTTGCTCTTTCGCTTGACCCTCTTTCACCAAATCGATTTTATTTTGAAGGATTAAAATGTGTTTGAGTTTCATGATCTCGATAGCCGCTAAATGCTCGCTAGTTTGTGGTTGGGGGCACGATTCATTTCCAGCTATTAAGAGGAGGGCGGCGTCCATAACCGCGGCTCCGTTCAACATCGTTGCCATAAGAATGTCGTGACCGGGACAATCAACAAAACTAACATGTCGTACTAATTGGAAACGACCTGTACATGCAGCACGAAGACACGGGAAAGAGTCGTCTTTTGAAGAGCCACCGGAAATGTAACACGCAGGTCGAGGACATTTCGGATTGTCGCATTTATAGATTTTTGCGTTTGCGTAACCTAAAAGCAAAAATTAATAATAATAATTAAGAATTAAATGGAATTGTTTAAGGGCCGGTTGTACAATATGATGATTATTATTCATATTATTTATTTTTTGTTCCTAAAATGTTCAAAATGACTCAAAGAACACGATAAGTACACTCAATTCAAATTTGGCAGCAGCAAAAAAAATTACACAACTTCAAAGAGTACCCTAAATTAGCAATTTTAAATTTTTGCAAAATTTTTGCTTCTAGAATATGTAAAATATCCTTGATCACACGACTAATACACACATTTCAATTTTGGCAGAGTCAAAATACTTGATCCCTTAACTTCTAAATTGGCAACTTTAATTCTTTTATTTATTTTTTGTCCCTAAAATGTTCAAAATGACCCAAGGAACACGATAAGTACACACAATTACAATTTGGCAGTTGCAAAAAAAAATTACGCGATTTGCAAAAAGTCATTTTATTAGCTCTAAATTTGAAATTGTCATTTTTGAGCATTTTTTGTTTCTAGAATATGTAAAATGTCCTTAGTAACACGATTAATACACACATTTCAATTGTGGCAATGACAAAAATACAGAGTGTTCAATAATGATAGCAAGGTGTTTGAATTTACCACTTTTTCGTTTAATTTTTTGCCTTGTAAGAAACCATAGTTTTTGGATCATCAAAACAAAATATGCTTTGATTTCTCGTTTGTTCTTTTTAGAGTACCTACAATGGTGAGTTTCTGGGGGTCCTCTTAGAGTCAGGTTGCCCAATGATACAAAGTTGAACCAGTTGTCAACTGTTATATTGCGATTGGATTATATTGGCTTGAGGCAAACCTTCTGTCTAACGTTTTACTTGTGTAAGAAATGGCATCAACTTTAGCTTTTTATCCTAAAATAACATCGTCTTCGAAGTGAAAGCAACTGCTCATCAATTATTACATCTTATAGGAGCAAAGTTGTCAGCTTCTCTCCTATCAGCTCTAGTGTTATAATCATCGAACCATAATCAAAACGATCGCAGCTCATGGTGACGTGGTATCTATGGTACTATGGTATCTTGCTGGCGAAAATTTCTATCGGCATTAT